TCAATTTCTATTAAAATTTGCTAAATTTTTAGGGAAAAGAAAAAAAAAACTTTATCAAACGACCCATGAATTCATAAGATTGTTAAACTATTTCACTTAATACGTTAATTTTTCGAGACGGAGTACATTGTTGCTTTACTAAGAGGTTGTAATATTTTTGTTAGAATTTGGATGTAACTCAAATTCTTTGTTTAAGTAATTGAAGTGCACGTCAAAAGAAATTCAATTTGGAATGCTTTTGAAATCTTAGTCAAGTTGAAATTCTATTTGGAAGCTCCATTGGAAGTTGAAATTTGTATTGAATTTGAAAATGTTGAAATTATGGATCGGAACGAAAAGTCGCCACATTTTCGCTAGCTGACCACTTGAGTAACACCTGCAGATTTTCTCTAGAGACTTCGTCCCTCACATGTCGCCCACCGATGCTCGAGCCACGTACATGTCACTAGTCTGTCCCTAGCTTATCGCTCAAGTGACAGAGTTATCCAGCCCAAATCCATTTTGCGTTTTAACACATTTTTAACATTTTACTTCAACTACAACTCATCTATTAGGGTTTGGACGTCTCCTTACATGTTCCCTATAAATATTAGATTTTTTTATGCAATTTTATTGTTTGAGAAAAGTGATTACTAGCTTTTAAAATCATTATAATATTTCTCTATCTTCATTATTTGTGATACAATAAATTCTCATAATTCTTCTGTCAAATTTTCTTATCTTCTTTTATTCTTTTAATTGTGATCAAATACTTCATTATTGTGTCATATAACTTCAACATATCAATCCGGTGGTTTGTTTCATATCAAGTGGTATAGAGTAATACGTGATCCTTGAATTTTCAACAATTGGTATAAGAGATTTTGGGCATAATGAATACAACAATTTTCGCACAAAAGTCCAATATTGACTTAGATGTGGTTCTTAACTTTATTTGGACTACTATGTTTAGCTTATGTTTGGTTCAGTTAAAAAAGTTAATTTTAATTTAAGTCAAAATAAATAATTAATTTTAATTATACATTTCATTGAATCACAATTTTTCAATCGTATATATTAATTTTTATCAAAATATACTAAAAATCATATTTTTATCCAAACAAACAAAAAGAGCTCAATATGTTTACTTTTTGACATGAAACAACACTCAATAGCTCATTACATTTTGTAATATCTACTATTTTCTTTTACTTTTTCAAACGCTAAAAGTTTATTGTAATAGTAGGATATGAATGTAAAAGATTTCATAAAATGACCAATTGACCAAAAAATAATAATAATAATAATAATAATAATAATAATAATAATAATAATAATAATAATAATAATAATAATAATAATTGTCAATAGTCCAAATGCCCAAATATCATCAAATATTGTTGTCACGTGGCTTCGCCTTCAGGACATATACTTATAAAATAATGCACTTTTAAGAGATGCTGAAGATTGCTTAATAGAAGTCCTCTAGTTCAAGTGGATGATCAGCTCAGCAATTTTAGCTTATCTTTGATTTAATTTAAAAAATATTTTTTTATTTAATTTTTATAAAAATGAATAAAATATACTATTAAAAAATTGATAAAAATGTTACAACAAACATATATTAACATATCTAATTCAAGAACCCACCATATCCTTTGATCTTTGTACCCAACAGTGCGTGTATCTAAAAAGAATAAAATATAGACAGAGAGAGCAAATTGAGAGACAACTATTATAAATTTAATTCATTGCTTAAAAGAGTGTACAATTCAGAGCATTGCTTGAACACTAAGACGTGCTTCTTTCGTAAGAGGAGTTTGCTAGGCTGCCATGGAAGATTTGACAGCCCCCTCACAATGGGTGTTGGGCATGGATTCCATCACATGTGAGAGAATGTCAAAAAGCATGTCAAATTTTTTCTGATGAACTAGTTTAATTTTTCGTAAGAAAATATTCTACTTTAGGTCCAAATGAGTAATGATTGAAATAAATTCTTGGGTCTGAAGTTGGACGATATAGAATTGAAAGTGATTGCATCTCTTTATATTGCTAATGATTATCATTTAGTAGAATTATGTTGTTTGTACAGAAAGGACGGTCCAGAAGCAGTGTCGAAGATGAGTTGAAGGGAAATGAATGGATAAAAAAACTGATTATATTTTAAACTGTCCAATAATATAGTGCTATGTGACATTTCGTAAATCATTAGGTAAACATGATATACATGTAACAATGATAAATTTAAGTCTAGATCCAATAAGTCCCCCCCACCTACATCCACTGCCAACACACCCCAAGAAAATGTCTCAGAGAATGCATATTATTTTAACACTTGGTACAAATGTAACCAGTAAAATAGAGTTGTCTGTTCCTAGTGGGTTCAGAAGGCCATTGGCCCTTGCATCGAATATCTGGATGCTAGAATTTATGAGGACAGTAATGCCAGCCAATTACAACTCAAAATTAATATTCAAAAAAGTACATCCAAATATTTGATGTTGGCAGAACTGCTGCGGGAACATTTATTTTGTGGGGCTTTTTTTAACCTTCAATAACGTGCACAGCTATGAAAATTAGAAAATCTTGTGAAAACTATGCTTTATTCTTGCCGGGGCAAGTTTGCATGTTGAATATAAATTAAAATCAGGCAAAGAACAATTTAATTTTTTCATTGGTATCCGTCCCGCCCCGCCCCTAGAGCATTGTGGATGAGGTAAATCGCGAGATGTGTCTCAGTAGGCCAGTGTACAAGAGTTGTCATACTAGTGCCCATAAAGAGTCCAATTCCATACCTTGTAAGAGACAGAAATCGAACCCTCACACTGCGACTTCCAACTCAATTGAGACCACCTCACTCATGTCCTTTGCACCACTGAACTATGCTCCGATGGGTTATTTGTCAAGATTATAAACTCGAGCAAAGAATTGTTATTGTGAACTATGTTAGATTTCGTGACATGAGTCCTATTATACATTTTGTAAGGAACTACTCGAAAAGAGTGGCGTCCAAAAAAGATTGAAGTAGCTCATTTCAAATTCATTGAGAATAAATCGAATATATGTTTTATCATTGGTGTTAGGAGTTAAACTCTAATTCCTTGTATGAGAGAAATAAGAATCGAAACACAAATAAAAATACACACGAGCCAGCCAAATTCCTTGTGACGCGCCACCTGATGTTTAGGTGCTTAGAAGATCAATTCTGTATATATATAAACACCGATAATGTGGCACACTAATTTTATATATATTGATGTATTCTTCCTTGTTTATAGGTGCCAGCCAAATCTACCAAATAAGGACTTACCTATCAGGACTTCAGACCCATGGTATCTTCAACATTTTTATTTTTAGTTTATTGTGTCCCTCAAATAAGAGATGGAGAAACTCTACAAATTCATAGTCTTCTTGACTTTCTGCCTTTGTGGATATCAAGTCATTTTTCGAACCCCTTTCTAACATAAATGACATGCTCTCAAGTCTCCATCTACCGTTTACCCAAAACAAAGAGTCCCATCTACCATTTATCACAATTCATAAATGAAGCCTTGTTTAAATTCATCCAAAGGAAAAGTTGCTTTCTGGTAACCTATATATCCATTAACAGCACATGTCCTTTGTTGAAAACCGTCAAGGTTTACTCTCTAAGAAATACAATTTAGGAGAGGAAATCAGTTTACTAAAGAGATTGCCCTTTTGACAAGATGGTTTAAAATGATATTAAAATCAACATGTTGAAAACTAATTTAATAGAATATATGTGCTCTTTAGTAGGTTAAGCTTTCGACTAAGGTGTTTCAATAATCTGAGTAGGTGTTTTGATGGAACTAGGGATAGCAAAAAAGCTCGCCGGCTAGGGCTCGGCTCGGAAAAAGCTCGAGCCGGGCCCGGCTCGGCTCGGACCGAACCTCATTTTTTTGGTCGGGCTTTACCCGGCTCGGCTCGGTCCAAAAAAGCTCGAGTCGAGCCCGAACTTTTTTATTTAATTTATAGTACATATAAACCGTACAAATTTTAAAATTTTAAGTAAAAATGTAGATTTGACTTTTAAAAAAAATCCGAACAGCTCGGTCCGGGCTCGGTTGGCCCGCTCAGACTCGAGCAGAAAACTCGAGCCGAACCTCATTCTCGGCTCGGGCCCAAAAAAGCTCGAGTCAAGCCCGAACTTTTTCGGCTCGTTGACATAGCTAGATGGAACATCTTTGGCTAGGGTTTAAAAAAAATTGTATATGGGAAGTGTTAGAAAATATGAGTTGTGGGTCGCCCATGTGAGATTACACGACCTACAAAACATTAAAAGGGATGGAGGGAGTGATTTGAAATTGAAATTAAAACCTACAATTTCCTATAATCACTCTTACCTCCCATACAACCTCCAATGGTTATTGTCCAGAAGAAAAGAGAAAAAAATATGGAAAATATGGTGAAAATTCATAAGTAAAAATGGACCAAATTGGAAAGGTCTAAAATCATTATTTTGACATGAAAACTCACAATGTAAGGCATCTAGATTGTGGTTAATAATCACATTCCATTATGATCGGAATTGAGACCATTTGGAGTGCAGAAAATGCAGATTTCGAAATTTTGAGATACAAGGTGATTCAACTACACAAACGATCTTGAAATTTATCATTTCAAGTAAGAATTCTTGATCCGTAATTCATGTTCACGCATGCTGCGTATTCCTTCAGAAAGATACTATACATCCACCAATGTGAAAGGGCTAATTACCTTGGATGTATTATTTTATTTCAGAAAAATAACTCATATAGTTTCACATACCTATGGCATGACTGAATATTACCGATTGTACTAAACATTGTTAGATAAGTCACACTGATTGGTTGTTGGGAGTTGAGAGATACAACTGTTTTAAAGCTATTGACACGCGACTTGGGCAGTTTAAATAATGCTTAGTGTTTCATTTAAACTTCTCATCATATAAGAAGAGTTTACAGCATACATTGAATACACTCTCCTTAATTTCCCTGTGCTTCTCCCCACACCCACCCCATATGGATCTTTTTCCAAGGTTCTTGTATTGGTTCCCTCTCCTTTGTCTATTCTACAATTTGTGGAAAAAATTTGACAGAAGAAGGCATCAAAATTGTTACATATTGGATTACGAATGCTACAAGCCAAGTGAGGATAGGAAACTCAACACAAGATTTTGTGGTGAAGTAATTAGGAGAAACAAGCAGCTCGGCCTAAACGAATACAAGTTTCTCTTGAAGTCCATAGTCAGTTCAGGCTTCGGAGAGGATACTTATGGCCCGAGAATGGTTCTTGAAGGACGAGAAATGTCTCCAAGACTTGAGGATGCTGTCAACGAAATGAATGATTTTTTTCTTGATACCATTGACAAGCTTTTCAAGAAGACTGGGATTTTGCCTTCTGAGATCGACGTTCTAGTGGTGAATATATCGATGCTCGCTGCAGTTCCTTCGTTATCATCTCTTATTATCCATCATTATAAGATGAGAGAGGATATTAAGGTGTATAATCTCACTGGAATGGGATGCAGTGCCAGCCCTATTGCAATCAATATTGTTCAAAACATTTTCAAGACTCAAAGAAATGTGCAAGCACTTGTTGTGACATCTGAATCTTTGAGCCTAGGTTGGTACACAGGGAAAGACAAATCTATGATTCTTTCTAACTGTCTGTTTAGATCAGGAGGCTGTGCACTTCTTCTAACAAATAAATTGGCCTTAAAAGAAAAGGCCATGTTCAAGTTGAAATGCCTTGTGAGAACACACCATGGTGCAAAAGATGAATCCTATGATTGTTGCATACAAAAGGAAGATGATCAAGGCTATGTAGGGTTTCACCTAGGCAAAAATCTCCCAAAGGCAGCCACTCGTGCATTCGTCGATAACTTGAAAGAAATTTCCCCAAAAATACTCCCTATTCGCGAGCTCCTTCACTTCACATTACTCACCCTCATTCGAGAAACGAAGAAAAAATGCACTAAGACAGGTGCAGGAGCCAGGCCGGCGATCAATTTCAAAACCGGGATCGATCATTTTTGCCTCCACACAGGAGGAAAGGCAGTGATCGATGCAGTGGCGCAGAATCTAAACCTCAGCGAGCACGATATAGAGCCAGCAAGAATGACACTTCATCGATTCGGAAATACATCTGCAAGCAGCATATGGTACGTTTTAGCATATATGCAAGCCAAAAATAGGCTTAAAAAAGGTAACAAAGTTTTTATGATAAGTTTTGGAGCAGGGTTTAAGTGTAACAGTTGTTTGTGGGAAGTGATGAAGGATTTGGATCAAGATGGAAATGTTTGGAAAGAATTCATTAATAGCTATCCGCCAAAAACCATAGCCAATCCTTTCTTAGAGAAGTATGGATGGATCAACGAGGAGGATCCGGATACATTTCACGTTTCAGATGATTATGTTATTCCGTGATTAATTTTTCCATTTTCTTGATCAATAGGATTAATTTATTCTATTGATGGTTAAGCCTCTGTGTAATTTTTTTTCCGTATAAGTGAAAGTGTGCTCATATCCAAAAGAGCCTGCAGGATAATTTTGTTTACTTCTCTACTTTGTATCCTAATGAAAATTACATTCAGTACAATGCTTTTTGTTCGGTTTAGTTTGTTCAATGAGTGTTCTTTGCTAGGTATGCAGAATAGCGTTATTACTTTGAAACTCGGAATTAAAATCAAATTTTTAGTTGATTTTGATAAAAATTGATGAAATGTGTAGTCAAAAAGTTGTGAATTTTATAAAATATGTGATGAAAATTAATTGTTAACTTTAATTTAAATCAAAGTTTAGATTTTAATCTGAACGGGGGCCAAGTCACATGTCAAACTTGATTTTTGATATTACTTGTCGTGTTCGCTTTGTTCATAGATACTCCATTTTGACTTATTTGGCAGTAAGTATTCGCATACTAGTCAAATAAGATAAAAGTAATTTTTGAAGGGTAAAAAATTGGGTAAATACCCTAAATAGTCACTGAACTTTGTCAAAAAATTTCAGGAGGTCATCGAACTTCAAAACTTCCCTAAGTAGTTTGACACAAATATTTGTAAGAAAGCTTTACAATTGTACTACACCCTACCAAACCCTAGCAGTTTCAATAACATTAGGTCTTCACTTTCTTTAAACTTACACATAAACACACTGAATATATGAGTGTGTTTGGTAGGGATTTTTAGGGGAAGAATTGATTTTTGAATAGTGATATGATGGGAAATGTGTGGTTGAAAAAGAAGAAAAAAGTATTGATGTGATAGAAAATATTATTTTATTGAGGAATGTATGGTTGAAAATGAGAATTGATTTACTGTAGAAAATGAAAATTTGTACCAAACAAGCCTATAGAGACAAACTTTTGTACATCGACTAATTGCTTGCCCATTATTGAAAATTATCAGAAGCACAATTATGAATAGTTGGGTGAAATTGAACTGAGTTGTTGGATTGTTAACATCCTCATTATTAACAGACAACTACGTATGCTACAGTAATTGCTCCATGTGAGCATTAAAGAATCCGAAAAGCAAATTAATTGTTGTGTTAATCTTGGTGATTCGCTAAACTATCATGTTTCAACTTGTGCATTTGACAGTAAAGCACTAGTTTGTTTGTGTTGTGAGAGCGAAAATTTGACGTTAAGTTGCTTTTGGCTTAACATAGTATTGATAACGATAGTTCACGTTCCATCTCGTGCATTTGT